AGAAAGAGCACTTTATAAATAAGTATAAACTAAATTTACACCGAAAGTGAAAGTAGAAAGCTGCCTTATCAGTATGACGTTCAAAACGTCACAACTAATACTTATTACTACGTTGCTTCATAACAACTTTCAGTTACTGTCTGAAGAGAAGAATGAACGACCGCTTGGTAATTTGTCTGTGTTATTCCGTTTTTAAAAAAAAATATATATGACTATGCAGAGTAGTCAAATTTAAAATTTATATATATAGTTCATGTGCTTTAATATGGATGGGTACATAATTTGTGTATACTCTAATTTTCTAGACCACTGTTCTCTATTCTTTATATTTAATCATCCCATTATTCTCTGTTCTTTATTTCTTGAGGCCATTGTTTTGTACTCGTAACAGTAAAGGTTATTCTATAAAAAGCATTTACTATGAAATTTAGTTCGAGGCGCTTGCCACGAGAATACATTAGATGCATATAACAACACATTTTGGAATTTCGGATCATCAATACTCTTCAAGTTCGTATCATATTTGGCCGTTGTAACTTTTTTTATTCGAGCGTCACTAATGAGTCTTTGGTGGACGAAAAGCTCGTACAAAATTTTAATCTTGGTATTCAATTTGTGACAGTGGTTTACCTTAATATCATTAATCTATAAATGCAGCATATGTGATTTTAAAATGCCCATGACTCCAGAATACAAAAGATGGTAGCTACTGGTGTAGGTATGTTTATTGATATAAAGTGGTGTCTTACTACATTTATTTCTTAACATGGTAAGATGACAAAATAAATCACGTTTCCTTCAGACATTATCACGGTTTTTCAATTCATGAAGAAATCGGTCAATTTCCTTAAGAAAGCTTAAAAAAAACACATCAAGTTGCCTTAATTTCCCTTCGCAAAGTTTCACAGTACTAATTCATACAAAAGATTTTAATAGCAGGACAGATAAAAAAAAAATGTGTAAACTAATTAAAAACATTTTTTTTTAATTTGGGACACAGCATTTTTTTCCCCAAAATAGCGAGTGGCAGTTTTTGCTTTTAATATCTTGATTACGATACAATGCAATATTACCCTTGTGGTCATTCATGCATAGTTACTTAGTACACGGAAAAAGTATGTACTATGAAACTTAAAAGACAAATTCAAGCAATTGGATTGGACGAGAAATTAACTGAGGACATTCTTATTGAAATCTAAGTTGAAGGAACACTTAAGATGTTTAATGCATACGGGCGCTGGAGTTTAATATTTGGGGAATTTTCGGTACCTTCTACCTAACAAAACTGTAACATCTGCAACAGGTACAACAAAGATATATTACAGGGACGAAGCACTGCAACATTTATTGTGCATTTCTCTTAATTCTAAAGCAATTATTTTGTATCAATGGTTCTGATTGGATGATAGTTAGCGTACAATTCTCTATCTCCTTGTCTGTAACTAAGGAAGCCGAAATTTTGAATTGCTGAATGTATTGACATGTAATTTCTACAATAATAAGCAAAAATCTCGCATGTTGTACCTAGAAATCTTCTTTTTATCAAATTTTATTACATTCTGAAGCGGTCAAGAAGCCAAAAACGCCCGGTGTTTACGTTTGACGCCGGAAGCATAACTATGACGTCACCTATTTTAGGGGCCAAAGAAGATATCATCTTTTGGCGGAATTTTCTTACACTGAAAAAATGATCGAAATTAAATTATGTACTTGTTTTGCATTAGAATAGAGATACCTGTATTGTATTTGAAGCTTTGCGGACGTCCATCGGTAGTTTTACTGTCGCAAATGATAGTTAGCGTACAATTCTAATAGTAATTTTACACTGAAATAATGATTGAAATTGAATTATGTACTTGTTTTGCATTAGAATAGAGATAACTGTATTGTATTTGAAGCTTTGCGGACGTCCATCGGTAGTTTTACTGTCGCAAATGATAGTTAGCGTACAATTCTAATAGTAATTTTACACTGAAATTATGATTGAAATTGAATTATGTACTTGTTTTGCATTAGAATAGAGATAACTGTATTGTATTTGAAGCTTTGCGGACGTCCATCGGTACTTTTACTGTCGCAAATACCCGTTTAAGTAAGCGTAAAACATCTTTTGGCGGAATTTTAATCTTAGAATAATACCAAAATACGTGACGTCATATGTATGCTCCCGGCGTCAAACGTAAACACCGGGCGTTTTTTGGCTTCTTGACCGCTTCAGAATGTAATAAAATTTGATAAAAAGAAGATTTCTAGGTACAACATGTGAGTTTTTTCCTTATTATTGTAGAAATTACAAGTCAATACGTTCAGCAATTCAAAATGTCGGCTTATTATCATGTATCTCCGCTAAGCGTCGCCAGGTAAACGGGTATTTGCGACAGTAAAACTACCGATGGACGTCAGCAAAGCTTCAAATACAATACAGTTATCTCTATTCTAATGCAAAACAAGTACATAATTCAATTTCAATCATTATTTCAGTGTAAAATTCTCATTAAAGAAAATTCCGCGAAAAGATGTTATCTTCTTTGGCCCCAAAACTAGGTGACGTCATAGGTATGCTTCCAGCGTCAACTGTTATCTACGCGTCGCCAGGTAAACTAAATTTGCGACAGTAAAACTACCGATGGACGTCCGCAAAGCTTCAAATACAATACAGTTATCTCTTAATTGGCACGGTGGAATCATATGCGCATCGAAGCGTCTGTTATGACTTGGATGGTAGTGTCGTCCCTCCAAGAAAAGTTTGAAAAATAAGTATTATCAGAGAGTTATTGATTTAAAACAGAGCATTAAAAGACGTTCAAATATGCATTACCGTATGTTTTTTTAGGTATATGAGTGTCGTACTTAGGACCTTTGTGACGTTACAAACCATTAACAGTAAGTTTAAAATATCTTCATTTAACGTTAACGGTAATTCCATATCTGTATTTGACGTTAACGATTAATTTTTGTACGTGACGATAAAGAACATCACTATAAAAAATATGTCTGTGTAGCACTATGGAAAGGAGATACTGAACCATATAAACAATTGGCCTGTTTAGTCTGAACAGGCCCCCGAAAAGATACCTACAGAGCAAAATATTACTTCTTTCTTCGACTTAAATGGCAACATCAGATAAATTTGTCTCTCTAATTCTTAGCAGGTTTATCCTTTTCCTGACCTGTTAATCTCAGTTCTTCATAGTCAAAATTATAAAAAGACGTCAAATTTTCTTGCTTAGTTACACATATTTGGTTTGGGAGTTTTTCTTGCCACTTCTTCTTAAAACCTTATTACAAACGGGACATCCCGTCCTAATTAGGCAGTGTTGTTGTTTATGGAGGCCGTAAATTTCGATACGATCTATGTACTTTTATTTGATATCAGATAACGACGTTATTTCTAATGAAATGTTTTATATTTTCATTGTTTGAGAAATGATTTTTCGTGCTTTGAATTCAAAATTAGGATTTGGTTCACAGACATCCGTGTACTTTTTCAAAAGATCCTCTGAGTGATTAGATATATTCTAACACAACAGATCTGGACTTTATTTTGAAATGTTTAAAAAAGTATTTTAAATTTGAAGTTCGCGTGACATTGGTTGGTCAAAAACCTAGTTGGAGCAATTCTAGAAAGATCTCAGGAATTTGTACAATGATAAGGACTATGGACTATGGACTATGTGTAATAATACTCTGACAATTTGTGAATCTGAAGATATTTGAGTTTTCTATGCACTCGATTCCTTCGTTTCTTTTTCTCAATATGCAGCTAATTTTTCACATAGCAATATAACAAGCTTCTAATAATTCTCGATCAATACTGAAATCAACGTAATATGGAAATGCATGTATTCTTGGTTAACATAGTTTGATTGATAACATTTTAGATAAATATGAGTGTGGGTTCGACACTGCTTTGTGTTACCGGCGGAAACATACTTTTGATTTTGTTACCTTCATCATAAGAAGTGTAACTTTATTATTGTTCTCAATTCATCAGTGCACCATCGGTTGATAATCAGAACAAGAGTCAAATTTAACACAAGGGATACAGATATAATGAATATGTGGTGGGTTTAAATTATTTTTATGAAGTCAGTAGAAAAACAGAAACGGAAATAACCTAAACTCTAATCTTAGTTTTTTTTCTACAAAAACATATTTTGAATATGTATTACCTTTGTTAAATATTTTACACAAACACTCGAACCCCCATACTTTTCTTTTTGAGTCGAAAAAAAATTTATGCTATACCAATCCTTAGAGTAAAAGAAATCAGCAATCGCTTCAGATTTACAATGTATGTACAGTGAAACATGCCTTAACGGTCACCTCGTTTCAGCGGTCACCTGCCTCTAACGGTCACTTTCAGACCCTCCCAAACGTTTTCTCTATATAATTTAACTCAAACCAGCGGTTACCTGTCTAACGCGGTCAGCGGTCACCTATTTGTTGCACGAAATCTTTATTTCGACTTTTAACAACGGTCATTTTAATGTTTTAAACTACCAAAATAATCTTGCTGAAAAATAAATGTGTTCAGAATCGAAGTCGAAATGAAAATCGGAACCTATTCTGCAATGGGAGGTGAATTTGTGAATTCCTCGTGTTCCACTCCGTTCAATTTCCATTGAAAACCGTATCACCGACTTATTTCTCAACTAATATTTAAAAAAAAAATTGAATGTTTTCTGACGTTTACAGCGCCGAAATCCGCCATTTTTTTTTATTATTTCATTGACGCAAAAACTTTAATTCTACCGATTGAAAAAACTAAAACAATTTGCCCCGATCCCGACCATAGGCGATCTCGGATTCAAATTTTTTTTGGAACCTCATTTCAAAGGTCACCGCTCTTGAGCGGTCACTTTTGATACTTCCCAAGAGTGACGGCTTAATACAGGTTTGACTGTACTCACTTGTCAAATCATTTAATGTATTTGAAAGTTAATGTTTTGAAAAAAAAGTGTGTTTTCAAAACATAAACTTTTGACTAAAATACTCACCATTCAGGCCCTTTTCAACAGGTAATCGATTGTTAAATGTTTTTTTAATCGATGTTTATGGTATAAAATATCATGTTACTAAAATCTATTAACATGTTACGTCGAAATTAGAATTAGCTTTACGTGTCAATGAATGTTGCATGACATATTGTGTTTTGATATGCAATATTGAAACATATTGTTACATATAAAATACAGTAATTGCAATACAAGCCTAACTATCGGTTTATACAAATTTGAAAGAAAGATATATTTGTTCAATTATTCGATGTGTAAATAGCACAAACATTGGAGTCAAAAATGCAAATCAAAACGAAGAAAGACCAATGATAGGGTAACCTCATCCTGCAAACAAAAATGGATTTATAATTAAACTTTATATTCAAATGATCTCGTCCTGACATGTGCTTAACCATTACGAATCGTAAAAACCCAAACTGATGTTTGTTCTGTGAGAATATGACGCAGGGTATAAATCAGACATTTTTATATGATGTCATTTTATAAATTACTGCAGTGCTTTTATATATGAATAACTGTCTAAAAAGATGTCAAACCCTTTAAACGTGTCGACCTTGTCGAAACATGTCCATTTCCCTCAGACGTGTCTTTGAAATCACATATCACCCAAACATATCCAATATTATTCCTCCCAAGCATGTTCGATTTTTTTCTCCCTCGAACGTGTTCGGATCATTACTTTGCTAAATCTTTTCTTAACTTTAGCACTAAATTGGCCTCTATGACGTCAATGACGTTCTCTGTCTTCATATAATGTTGCAACTAGACTGGTATCCGACCGTTATTTGACATGTTAATATTTGTATATTCCGAAGGCATACTGAATATTTTACGGAGGGGACCAACCTATACTGCAACATACTGTGACTATAGTATCATTTATACATTTTAACTTTATTTTAATAACAGTTGAATTTTTTTTTACTTTCTATCTTTTTAATTGTAATCATTTTGAAATTCAGGGAAGCATCCTGATAATAACTTTTTTTTTTCAAAAATAGAGCAAACGTTCTTCCGTACTATAGATTCATTCAAAATTGTAATATTTTCGTCTGTACTTCAGAGTCATTTCATACGTCAGAAAAGGACAAGAAGACAACATATTGTTTACTCTAAAGAGGCAAACTGTACATAATTTTCAATATAAAAAAATAACTATTAAAGATGTCAGTGTGTTATTAGAAACAAAAAAAGTGTATTGCGTTAACATATTGAAAGTTGATTCCATTTATTGATGTTTACTTTTCCATGTCTGTTTATTAATATTGTACTTACCTATTAGGCCTTTAGTTATTTTATGGTATGTCCACACAAAGGTTGTTTGTGCTTCGATTGAAAATTACTTTAGACTCTACTGACAAAATGCCAGTTATGTCATATGATAGTTGCATTACCAGCTGAATTAACAAAAGAGTCACTCATATTACATTTAATTAAAAAATTCCCTGCCTTGTTGTGCAATCTATACGCCTTTGTTTTCTCAATATTTACAAATAACTTCGTACTTTATTGGCCTTGAAAACTTTTTTTATTCGAGCTTACTTATTAGTCTTTTGTAGACGAAATGAATTCAATTGGGAACATACTAGTTTGAAAGACTTAAAAAAAAATTAAAAAGGAAATTGTTTAAAGTTGTTTAAGGTCTTTTCTACATGTTGATATTTTAAAAGGTTTTATATGATCTTTCTTAACCTTATCGTCCCAGATGAGATTTTTGTTGACAAAACATGCGTCTGGCGTAAAAACTTTGTAAGCCTAGTATTTATGATGAGTTTATATATACAGAAATGCATTATTTTTTTTATTTACAATAAAGTAACCATCGTAAACAAAAAGAAAAATAGAAGATAAATAGACATTTGCGGAAACTGTCATACACCTACGATTAGGATTACAATTAGACTTACAGGTAGCATTTAAATCTTGGGTGGTTTCAAAGTGTAATTATAAACCGTCGGTTCAAAACAAAGACTAACTCCTATGAAGTTTATCTATAGTTGAACAACGGGATTTCAAAGAAATATCGATAAAAAATGGCATCTTGGCAGCTTCAGGTGAAATCTGGACAACTCGGACCCAAAGGCAAATCGGACTTTGACAACTCGGGCAAATTTAAAGACAACTCGGACCACTTTTATAGACAGCTCGGACCAGTTTGAAAGACAACTCGGACCAGTTTGAAACACTTGTCAGACCAGTGGCTCTTCGTGGTTTTTACGTTTAATATGATTTTTGTGCGGTATGAGCGTTGCTCATTGTTGAAGGCCGTACGGTGACCTATAGTTGTTAATTTCTGTGTCATTTGGTCTCTTGTGGAGAGTTGTCTCATTGGCAATCATACCACATCTTCTTTTTTATATAAGCTGCATTAAACATATACATGCAGTACATTTTAAATTAAATCAAGAATTTCAAAATATAGATTCTCAAGAACTTCGTTTAAATATTCTTAAAGCACTCAAGTTGTCTTTTAAAGTACACGGATATCTGTGAACCCTATTTTAGATTTAATGCAAGTCAAACATTTTTTAAAACGAGGATTTTTTTTTTAATTTCTTTAAAAAAAAAGTAGTTATATGTTTTCAGATAAAACTATATTACATCATTCTTGACTTCAATGATCTTTGCTTTTAAAGATATTTGAATGCACACAAATATTGATTGCATCCGAATCGTAATCAAACACATTAAACATCATTTATAACATGATATTTTTATATTTCATTAGGAATAAATTATAAGCTGATATTTTAAAAAAAAATAGCCAACTCGATATTTACTACACGAATCATTAAAATGAAAATAAAAATGGAACCCAACATCAACATATTCCAACATCCTTATGTAATTCATATCAACCGTTACTCATACTTCATTCCTGAGGGTATTTTAATATATTCTGGAAAATCACTGGATAAATTTATATCTATTGCTTGCATCAATCCTACACTAATTTAGTGTTTCGGCGGCATTTTTATATATTCTAAAATGGGTTTTACATATAGGCCCGCCATCATCAGGGATTATCCTATATTTCCTAATTTCTAATTTTATATTTGCTGTTAGTAGATCTGCTAAATATTTGTGCCTTTTATATGCTATGATAGGTGTCTCTGTGAATGTCTCATTACAAATCACATCTTTTTGTAATATGTGCCAATGTTTGATGATATATTTTCCCAGTTTTCTTATGCATGGATTGTATTTGGTAGATAAAACTAAAGGAATTTCCTTTTTTTGTTCTTTAGAATTTTTTTCTCAATAGAAATTTCCTATCCCTTGTTCTCACCTCATTTAATCAGTTATCTATCTCTTCCTCCTTGTATTGCCTCTTAATCAAGTTCAATTTGAACTGTGAAAGAATTTGTTCTAAATCATTTATATTATTTGTGTTTCTGATGTATCGTATAACCTCGCCCTTGATAAAATCGGAAAATACATGCATTTCATTTTAAACTAAATCAAGAATTTAAAAGTATAGACTCTCAAGAACTTCGTTTAAATATTCTTAAAGCACTCAAGTTGTCTTTTAAAGTACACGGATGTCTGTCAACCCTATTTTAGATTTTTTTTTTATTTCTTTAGAAATAAAGTAGTTATATGTTATTAAATAAAACTATATTACATTATTCTTGACTTCAATGATCTTTGCTTTTAAAGATATTTGAATGCACACGAATATTGATTGAATCCGAATCTTAATCAAACACATCACACATCATTTATAACGAGATATTTTCATATTTCATTAGGAATAAATTATAAGCTGATATTTAAAAAAAATCGCCAACGCGATATTTACTACATGAATCATTAACGTCAAAAATAGTAGAAAAATACCGTTTACATTATTTGGAAAGATTTAAAAGTTATTGTTAAAAAAAAATCACACACTATTTAAGTCGGTTAAGGAGCATTTGCGGATACAAGAGTGTAATCGTATAAAAGATGTACGACTTCCAATTACTATATATCGCCCGCTTTTGTAAAGCGAGTGGAACTATTAATACGGAAAAATGAATAAATAATAATTGTATTTCGTGCATTTATTTTATTTTTCCCCGTTATGGACGAAGAACACAGATTAACCATGACAGCACTACCTGCCCTGATGCAGACTCCACCAGATTTAAGGTACACATTTCATTCGCCATCTGATTCTAACACTGGTAGTCCTAGCATGACCAACGACAAACCAATCTTTTATAATCAGGGAAATATTATAGGCAATGACGTATACTTTTGGAATAGGGAAATGTGATCACTTGATTGCAAGCAAACGATATTCTTTTTACATGTGAAACTCCTGAAACGTTACTTTAAATTGTAGCCGATGTTAATGGTCTCTTCAGACAGAGAACCGGTCGGGATCATAAGCTTTCCCTGGAAAACAGAATTCTTCTTTTATGTTATGGTTACCCGTCTTGTCATCTGATTTCAGAAATAGTTGACCTTAGTGTTTCGACTATAAAAGATGAAACACATACATGTATACCTATTTCAAGAAACATATAACCGTCTTATCTATTGGCCGTCTTTCACTGGATGATTGGAAGAACTTACAAGGTGGGTGGCCAAAACTTCCGTTTGCAGTAGGGCTATCGACGGAAATTTTAAGGCCGATAACGGAACTAAAAGTCTTAGAATAGTATTTCCCAGAACACAGACATTGTCACTGCATTTACACTTAAGTTGTAGTATTGAACGAAGACAGGAAATGTTATGTTGAGTGCGGATTTCTTTGTCATCAGCAATATATGTTGATAAGAAATATAGGACAAGAATTACCTTTCACGACCGAGCTGTTTTTGCTAGGCGACAAAATATATCCGAACAGATATCCAGTATTGACACCTGACATGAGACAAACCCCAGATTATGCAGAGGAAGTGTAGAAAATTAAATAGACATATTACACACTATAGAGTAGAGGTGGAACACGCATTCGGAGAATTAAAAAAAACACACACAAAGTTATGGGGACTTTGTGGCGTTCACATCTGTTATGACCATACGTTTCTGCATTTGTGTGTCGTCGAAA